TGAAACCCGTGCTCTTTGGTGTGTGCTTTGTGCCCACATCCCTCTCCTGCCTGCAATCCTACACCTGGCAGCAAGGATGGAACATGCCCACACAAGCTGAGGCCAAAGGGTGAAGCTTTCTAGCAAGGCCACAGGTTTTTTCAGCGCTCCAGGTCTGGTTTATCCAACACACCAATCGCTTCTGAAACCAGGATATTCCTCTGTAAATATTTGGAGGTTCTTTTCCCTGACATCTATCCAATAAAAGCAGGATGGGAACAAAACCTCTCCTGGGTCACTGCAGCCAAGGCTAAGCCATCACACCCTCAATCCCACACAGGAGGGGTCACAGACCCCCCCATACGGAGCAGCCACACCCCCCAAACCCCAAGGCTGGGCTGTTTCCCTCCCCCTGCTCCTGAAACCTCAAAGAAAAGGCTTTTTGTGTTAAAATTCCTCAGGGGAAAAGTTTAATGGAACGATCTTTGTGGAAAGCAGGAGCATTTCCCTCTCCTCCTTTTGTGAGGACAACCAGCTCAGCACCCCTGGGGTGGGGGTCTCATGAGTGGGGAACACGTGTGCCACGTGCCTCCTATGGAGCCCAAGGGAGGATCTGTCCCCTTCCCAATGGGATGGGCTGATCCCGGCATGGGAAGGGAAGGGCTGGTTTCACCCTCTGGCACAGGACACAGGGAGGGGGGGTCCCCCTTTTTTTTGACTCACCACAAAGGTGTCGTAGGAGAACTTGTGCCTGTGGAGGAGGTGCTGGAGGAAGTTGGCACTCTTGTAGCTGGGATCTCCCCAGGGCATGGCTGAGCACACCGGGCACACCTGCAGGGACAGGGACACGGGAACAGTGACACCTGGACATGGATCCTTCTGCCTTGACCAGCCTGAGAGGTTGAGTGGTGACCCTCCCTTTCTGACAGAGAATGGGCAGAGAAATTGCTAAACAGGGAGTCTCTAACAAATCAGAGATAGATCCCCACCTCCCAAAGGGATTTAAACAAATTAAACCAGCTGGAAACACAGCTGTACCTCACACACATCCACGCCGGTGGCCTGGGGCAGTGTATTTGGATTCCCAGGAGTTTCCCTGCACATCCCAGCCCATCCCAGTGCCCCAGCATCACTCACCACTTTGTTGGGGTCATTTCTGTGGTTTTCCATGCAGTGTTTCACCAGCTCCTGCTGGTCCAAGTTCCGGGCCCCGCAGTACGGACACACAAACGTTGAGCGGTTGGGAATGTTGCTAAGGAGAGCAAGGAAAACCTCAGATCCCCAGGGAAGGGGCTGGGTTGACTCCTTCCAAACTAACCCAGCTCAGTTTTGTGAGAGCAGAAACCGGCCCAACCCCTTCCCACCCCCTGGGTCCTTCATCCCAATTCACACTCCAAAACACGGAGCAGTACAAGGGCCGTGGGTGCCAGGAAGGAAAAGTGCTGATATTCCTCCCTGTGATTAGACAGGGAAAAGTAAAACACATGCTTGGATTTTGGGGCATGCAAGGAGGGACATGCTTCCCTACCCAAGGCGCAGGAATACCTGGGAATAGGCTGGGATGTGGGGACAACTGGAACAAACTTGGGGCAGTTGGCCATCTGCTCCTGCACCTTGGCACAGGATGAGACGTGAGAGCGCATTTTGGCCAGGGTCACCTGGAGAAGGAGGACAAGAAACATTTCTGGGCTGCGGGAACACCTTCCAGGAGCCAGCACTGGAGTTGGACCTGGAGCCCAGGTCTGATGACCACTGGTCTGTGCAGGATGACCCACAGCAGTGGAAATGCTGCACCCACCCGTCCCTCCTCGCAGGACAGAGATTTGGGGATGCACTGTCCCTGCAGGGATCCCCAGAGGTTCCCCACAAGCCACCCAGGCTGCACCAACTCCATTTTCCTTCAAAAAGCAGGAACTGCTGATGGGAGAAATCCTGAAAGTGCACTGACACCATGTTGGATTGCTCCTGGGCTGCAGTCAGGGGTGACAAGATTCCCAAAGTTAAGGGTTTCCATGCTGAAGGAAAACCTCCACCTGCTTTTGAAGGTCCGACTGTCCCATAAGAGCTGCAGCCTCTGACAGAGGCAGCTAGCAGGGAGCTCCTTCAGCTCGGCTCAGGGCAGCAGCTGTGACACAGGGGACACAGAATCAGAGGTTCATTTTAGTTGGAAAAGACCTCCAAGGTCATTGAGTCCAACCTGTGACCTATTCTCCCACCTTGTCACCCAGCCCAGAGCACTGAGTGCCACATCCAGTCATTGCTTGAACACCTCCAGGGATGGGGACTCCATCACTGCCCTGGGCAGCCCCTTCCAAGGCCTGACCATCCTTTCCATGAAGAAATTATTCCTGATATCCAACCTGAACCTCCCCTGCTACAGCTTGAGGCCACTTCCCCTTGCCCTGTCCCTTGTTCCCTGGGAGGGGAGTTGGAGAGAGTGAGAAGGTCCCCCCTGAGCCTCCTTTTCTCCAGGCTGAGCTCCCCCAGCTCCCTCAGCTTCTGGTGCTCCAGCCCCTTCTGCAGCTCCGCTCCCTTCTCTGGACATGCCCATCAGTGTCTGTACTGGAGGGGGCCAAATCAGACCTCAGAATTCCAGATGTGGCCTCACCAGTGCCCAGCACAGGGGGACAGTCACTACCCTGGTCCTGTGCCCACACTGTGGCCAGTACAATCCAGGAGCCATTGGCCTCTTGCCCACCTGGGAACACCTGGGTTCACGTTCAGCTGCTGTCACCAGCACCCACAGGTCCTTTTCCAGCTTTCCAGCCACTCTTCCCCCAGCTCGGAGTGTTCCATAGCGTTGTTGTGACCCAAGGGCAGGACCCAACACTTGGCCTTGTTGACTCTCACTCCACTGGCCTCAGCCCATGGATCCAGCCAGTCCCAATCCCTCTACAGAGCTTCCTGTCCTCCTGCAGATCCACATCCCACCCTTGTTTGGGGAAGCAAACCAGGGACAGCCAGTAACTCCCCTTTCCTGGCACCACGGCTGTGGGATTGGGATGGGGACTGGCAGCTTTACCTTCTTGCTGCAGCCTCTGCAGGGAGCCTTGTAGGATGAGAGCTGCTTCTCCACGCTGGAAGCCTTCTCCACCTTTTTGGGATCAAAGGGCACGCGGCAGAGTGGGCACAGCGGGGATGGCACCTGCAGGCAGGGCTGCAGGCATTCCCCACAAAACCTGGGAGCACAGAGCAGGACTGAGCACCCCGGGAAGAAAAGCAGGATCCCATCGGGGCATACCCATTCCCAGGGACTCCCAGCACCCCAAAACCCAGGGATCAGTAGCCTAACTGGGAGAACTGGGAGGTTGGGAAAGGGTGAGAGGACGCCCCCAAGATGCTCCCTGCACGTACAGATGATTCCACTGCTCCGAGAGTGGATTTGAAAGGAGCCAAACAAAAATGGTGCTGAGTATCCAGGTCAGGCAGGGATGGAGTGAGCACATAAGAGCCCAGATCACTTCCTTCCAAGGTCCTTATATCCCCAGGAGTGTGGCTGAGGAATCCACGTGGGGAGGAGGTGCAGGAAAGCACCTCCAGGCACAAGGCAAAGCAGCTCTGTCCTCAAAATCCAATTATCCCAGCATTCATGTCCCTTCCTACCCAGCTCTTGTTATCAGGAACAGGGAATAAAACACCTCAAACCCTCTGCCACTGTAAGGGGAGTAGGAATGAGCAAACGGGATCATGGAGGGGATCTGGAATCGTCCCCAGCCTCAAACAAGCTAGAGGGGGATCAGCGAGGCAGCGCTGGAGCTCCAAGCAAAGCCACAGGCCCACTGGGGGTGTCCTCAAAATCAGATGGAAAACTGGATGAAGGTGTTCCTGAAATGCTGGGGGGACAAAGAGACAAGAGTTTGAGAGGTCCTGGGGTGGGAGCCAGGTCTGGGAGCAGAGGGAGCTCTGGGTGGTCAGTGGGACACCCACATCGGATCCAGGCTGGGGAACACTGAGGGGGACAGGGCAGCACCCCATCCCCAAAGAGGGAAGGATCAAGGATGAGGACAAGGGGGGAGAGATGGAGGTCCCGGTACCATATTTGGGGGAGGGATAGGGGTCCTAGTACCAAGATAGGAGAGATAGGATGGGGGTCCAGAGATGAGAGGGATGAGATGGAGATCCTGGTGCTGCATGGGAGAGGCGGTGGTCTCGGTACTAGGATGAGATGGATAGGAATGGGGGTCCCATTATTTGACCGAGGGTGAGATGGGATGATGCTGAATTTAGGGGTGGGATGGAGGTCCCAGAAACAGACTTAGGGGGATGAGATGAGGATCCTGGGATGGGAGGGGTGAGATGGGGGCCCCAGTGTGGGATGGAGAACTGGGATGAGGGTCCCGGTATCAGGATGACAGGAGTAGGAATAGGGGTCCTGGTACTTGACAGGGGGTGGGATGGGGGTCTCGGTACCAGGATGGGAGGGCTGGGAATGGGGGTCCTGGTACAGAACCATCCCAGAGGTGGGAATGGGGGACCCAGTGTGGGATATTTGACTGGGGCTGGGATGATACATCAGTATCGGGATGCCCCGTACTGAACCATCCCGGTGTGGGATGGGGGACCCGGTGTGGGTTGGGGGTCCCGGTATTTGACTGGGAGTGGGGTGAGGGTCCCGGTACTCGACTGGGGGTGGGATGGGGGTCTCGTCGCCGGCCAAGGTCACTCGGCAATGAGCCCCAAGGGATCCCAGCGCCAGGACATCGCCCAGCGACCGCACCGCGCCCGTCGCCAGGTCATCCCGGGGGTCCCCACCGCCCCCGCCCGGGCCCCGTCTCACGTGTGCCCGCAGCCCGCGATGCCGACGGCGCGGTGGAACACCTCGAGGCAGATGGGGCAGCTGAACTGCGCCTCCAGCGCCTCGGCCGCGGCCCCGGGCCCGGGGGCGGCGCGGGGGGGCCCGGCCGGGCCCTGCGGCCGCTGCGCCGCCGCCACCAGCAGGCTCCGGAACATGGCGGCGCCGGCGGCGGGGCGGGCGCGGCGTCACGGGGCGGCACCGCCGCGTCAGCGCCGCGCGACCGGAGCGCTCGGGGACACGGCGGGACACGGCGGGATACACCGGGACACGGCGGGGCCGAGAGGAGCCGAGCAGGCCCCACCGGGACTGAGCAGGATCCACCGGGACTGAGCAGGATCCACCGGGACACACCGGGACTGAGCAGGATCCACCGGGACACACCGGGACTGAGCAGGATCCCACGGGACACACCGGGACTGAGCAGGATCCCACGGGACACACCGGATCCACCGGGACTGACCGGGGCCGAGCGGCACCTCCATGTGCGACGTGTCGGGTGACGGTGGCGGGTGCGGGGCGGACACGGAGCCGCCGCGGCGCCGCCGCGCACCGAGAGACAGGTGAGAGCCCTCTCGGGACCAGGATGAACCCCCGGTAACCTCGCGGTATCCTCCAGACATCCCCGCCGTGCTGCCTCCGGTACATCCCCTGTGCTCCCCCAGTACCCCCCGGTACCGCTCCGTTCTTCTCCCGGATGTGTTCCCGATATCTCTCTGGTACCCTCTGGAGCTGCCTCTGGTGCTACCCCCTCCCCCCCGGTGCTGCCCCTGTACCCCCTGGTGCTCCCCCTGGTACCTCCCGGTAATGCCCGGTAGCCCCTCGTGCTGCCCTGGGACTGGGACCGCCGTCCCCCGGTACCGCCCCCGGGGGGGTCGAGTCCCGGTGTCCCCGGTGACCGGCCGTGTCCCCACAGCCACCCCCGAACCTGCATGAAGTGCGGGCAGGGCACGGCCGCCCTCATCATCCGCGTCGGGGACCCCTTCTGCCGGTGAGGGATCGGATGGGGACAATGGGATGGGGGACATCAGGCTGGGGGGTATTGGGTGTTCGGGATGTTTGGGCTTGGGGACACCGGGACTTGGGGATATTGGGACATCAGGGCTTGGGGACTTTGGGGTCTTTGGGGTTTGGGGACATCAAGCCTTGGGGACATTGAGTCTTGAGGATGTGGGGAATTGGAGACATTGGGTCTTGGGAACATGGGAGCCTGGGGACGTTGTATCTCATGGACCTTTGTTTCTGGGACACAGGGTCTCAGGGAAGTGGGGGCTTGGGGACATGGGGTCTCTGAGGCATCAAGTCTCAGGGACGTTTGGTGTCTGGGATGTTGGGACTTGTGGACATGGGATCTCTGAGACATTGGTCTCAGGAAGAAGGCTGGGAGTGGGGGACTTGAGGACGTTGGGGCTCAGGGACATGGGGCCTGGGGACAGTGGAACAGACTCAGGGGTTCCCACAGCGGCTGCTTCCGTGAGTACTTCGTGCACAAATTCCGTGCAATGCTGGGCAAGAACCGTGTCATCTTCCCTGGAGAGAAGGTACCAGGGGTGGGGGAATGCTGAGGGGGGACCCAGTGGTGGCACCAGGGCCGGTGACTGTCCTTGTTGTTCTTGCAGGTGCTGCTGGCGCTGTCGGGGGGCTCAGCCTCCAGTGCCATGGTCCGGCAGGTGCAGGAGGTGAGAGGGGGGCTCGGGAGGGGTCGGCAGGGGGGGCACAGCTCACCCACCCTGCTCACCCTGTGCCTCTGACAGGGGCTCAGCCGGGAGGCGGCCAAGAGGCTCCGCTTCATCCCCGGCCTTGTCTACGTTGAGGGTAAGGATGAGCCCTGCTGCCTGCTCCGTGTCCAACTGCCCATTCCCAGACCTGTTCCCAGCTCATTCCTGGCCCTGCCGCATGTTCAGTGTCCAACTGCCCATTCCCTGTCCCGCTACCTGCTCCCAGCTCTGCTGCCCCTTCCCTTCCCCAGTGTCTGTTCCCTGCCTCACTGCCTGCTCCTTGCCCCATTTCTGGCCCCACTGCCTGCTCCCAGCCCCAGTGCCTGCTCCCTGCCCCATTCCCAGCCCCACTCCCCCCTCCCTGCCCCACTACCTGCTCCCAGCATAGGATCCCACTGCACCATGCCAGACCCAGGGTGCTGCCACCCAGCCCAGCAAGGCCGGGGCACCCTGGGTTGTCCTCCTGGCCCCATGGGTGTGGTGGGTGCCCCTTCCTCACCGTGACAGTGGCCCTGGCACTGCCCACCTGCCTTCCAGAGGGAGCTGTGCGCAGGCAGAGCCCAGAGCAGCGGGAGCAGACCCTGGCCCACATGGAGACCTTGCTGCGGGCCACCGGCTTCCCCTACCACGTGATCCACCTGGAGGAGGTATTGAGGTGACATGGAGACAGGCGCTGAGGTGAGAGGACACACCTGGACAACCCAACTTCCCTCTGTATCTGTCTCTGCCCCACAGGCACTGGAGCTGCCCCCATCCATCTTACAGCCAGGGCCAGAGCAGTCCAGCAAGTCCGGCCCATGTGGCCCCTCCTACAAGGAGGCTGTGGACAGCTTTATCCAGCAGAAGCGACAGGAGGGGGAGGGGGAGAGTGCCACCTCTCTGCCTGGCCATAGCACCCAGGACATGCCACTGGGACCCCTGTACACTCCCCACCTGCCTGACACTGCCCAAACCCAGGAGCTGCTTCGGATCTTCGAGGCCGTGGAGACAGCAACAGCACGGGAGGAGCTGCTGCAGATGCTGCGGTGAGGGGCTGATCCTGCCCGGCTCCAGCACCAGTGTGGCATGGTGGCTCTGAACCGGTGTCACCTCATCCCCAGGACCCACCTCATCCTGCAGATGGCCCGGAGCAGGGGCTACTCCAAGGTGATGACGGGTGAGACCTGCACCCGCGTGGCCATCAAGCTCCTCACCAACCTGTCGCTGGGCCGTGGTGCCTTCCTTGCTGTCGACACGGTGAGCTGGGGACGGTCCCCTGCACCCGAGGGGTGACATGATGCCATGGGGGGTATCCAAGGCTTGGTGGTGGCACAGTCCCCTGGCAGCCACACACCCACAGGGCTTCACGGACAAGCGTCACGGTGATGTGATGGTGGTGCGGCCCATGCGGGACTACACGGCCAAGGAGATCGCCTTCTACAACCACTTCTTCAACATCCCCACTGTCATTGTGCCACCCCTCTTCACCAAGGTAGGGGTGTCCCATGTTGGGGATCCCAAGCTGTGTCTCCATGGTGGGGACAAACCTCCCAGTCTTGTCCCTACCCTTTCCACTTGCCCCCACAGCGCCGGGAGAAGCCCAGCATCCACCACCTGATCGAGCGCTTCCTCCTGGGGCTGCAGGAGGATTTCCCCTCCACCATCAGCACTGTTTACCGGTACAGGGACCTCCATGTGGAGGTACAGTGGGGTGGGGGGAGTGAGTGGGGGATTGGGGTGCACTCACCCTGTGTTGGCTGCAGGACAGGGGAGAAGCTGAGCCCAGACCCAGCCAAGGCCAGCAGTGAGTCCCAGCGCTGCCTCCTCTGCCTCTGTGGCCTGGACATTGAGGGAGGTGAGTGGGTTGGGCATGGGGGGCTCGGAGGATTTGGGGAATAGCTGTGCACCCCACAATTGCCCCCCTGCCCTCTGGCTGTTGCAGAGGAGGAGTTGGCCCTGGAGCCCACACTGATCTGGGAGGAGCTGGAGCCAGTGGGGAATGGGTGCTGCCAGCAGGGGTGAGCATGTGGGCAGGGGGGATTCCAGCATTCCATACCCCCTCTGAGGCCACCCCAGTGGCACCAATGAGTGTCCCTGTCCTTGTTGCTGTTCCCACAGGGCTGAGAGCAAAGCTGCCTATATTCCACTACTGTGCTACAGTTGCCGCCTCACCTTCAAGGAGCTGGTGAGGCTTTTGAGGTGCAGTGGGGTGGTTCTCTATGGGGATGGGGATCTCCAGCCTCACCCCTCATCTCTTGCAGGGCCCCCTCACCACACTGCCACCATACATGCGTGCTGAGGCCCAGCGCAGGATCCACAGGTAAGGGGGGTGGGAGTCCCCTCCCCGCTAGCTCAGCCTCCAATGCCATGTCCATCCATCCAGTGTGTCCATCCCTTGCAGTGCAGAGATGGAGCGGCAGACACAGGAGAACCAGGAGCGCAGCAAGAGCTGAAGGGGTTGGGGACGGGGGGAACACAGACCCCCGTCCCTCAGTGGCACTACTGGGGCAGGTGCCAGCCCCACCAGAGCTTGGTGGGGACCCCTGGCACCCATTTCTGCTCCAGCCAAGGGCAGGGAGAGCCCCCCCCATTTATTGGGGGCCAGGAGTGCTGGTAACCCCAGGGTAGCATGTCCCTGGTCCCCCACCCTCCCTGCCCCAGCTACCTGTCAGCCAGGGAGACCTCAAGTTTGTTTTATTCAATATCTATATAAATAAACCATTTGAATTAATAAAAAACAAAAACAAACTCGAAGTCAACAAGTGTCTAAAGTCCAACTGGGGTTGCCAGAACCCCTCCCCCCAACTGGAGGGGCCATAACTCAGGACCCCCATCCTGGAGATGGGAGGGCTATTGCTTTTGAGTTCAACCTGGTTCTGGAACAGGGTTGGGGACAACAAGGGAGAGGGTACAGGCTGGCTCCTGACCTCCCCATCCCCACCTGGCAGCCAGGGGCACCCAGGGGGTGGGGGGACCACCTGCTGTCCCCCTCCCTGGGAAGGCACAACGTGGTCTGTGCAGGTGGAACAGCTTCAAAACAACGTAAGAAAAACATCCAGAAAAACATCCTCCCTCAAAGCGAGCGGCCAGAACCCCACATCCCACCGCCTCCCAGGGCAGAATGCGGCCCCAGCTTTGGAGGGGCTGGTTAAGGCATTGGCGGTGATGCCCCTGTGAGGGGGGGTGGTGGAGCCCCTTCCCCTTATTACTTCTCCCGTGTCCACTTGATCATGGTCTCGGGCGAGCGGTAGAGGAAGATGAGCTTGGCGTAGAGCTCTTCCTCCAGCTCCAGCTCACCCGTCTCCCGCACCAGGAAAATATCCTGGCACAGCTTCAGGATCCGATCCACACACGGCAGCTCCTCGAACATGATGGAGTGAGAGATCTCACTGAAGAACCCCCGCACGAACTTCCCGATCACCAGCACGATGGACACGTACAGCCCCATGACCCTGCAAGGGAGACACATATCCTGTATCCCTGAATCCTACCATCCCTTCCCTTCACATCCCACCCGGTGGCTGGAGCCCTCCAACACCCTCTGCCCCCTTCACGTACCCATAGCCAGCCAGGAAGCCCAGGCTCGGGGGGCTGACTTTGTCATTGAAGATGATCATGGGTAGGATGTTGCCATCCTCGGGGGGGGCGTCTTTCAGCCGCAGCACCCACCACTCCACAAAGTTGTCGCTCCCTCGGCCCCTGCGTTCCCGTTTCAGGTCCACCTCCACATCCAGGTAGCTGTTGTGGCCATCTGGGGGGGTGACACCATCAGGGCACAGCCTGGCTGCTGTGCTCTCAAGGATGAGTTTTTGGGGGAGGACATGGTGGGACTCATGTCCTCCCCATCTTCAAGGAGGTGGCACCATCAGCGACCAGCACAGCTGCTGGTGTGTCCCCAGTGCTGACTTTTATTGGGAGGAGGAAATAGTGGGACTCATGTCCTCCCCATCTGCAGGGCAGTTGGCACCATCAGGGCACAGCATGGCCACTAGTGGGCACCCAGTGATGATTTTTTCAGTGGAGGGACTTGGTGGGACCCATGTCCTCCCTGTCTGCAGCGGGTGGCACTATCAGGGCAGAGCACAACTGCTGGTGGGCACCCAATGATGAATTTTTTTAGGGCGAGGGCACATTGGGACTCATGTCCTCCCTGTCTTCAAGAGGGTGGCACCATCAGGGCACCGCACAGCAGCTGGTATGCCCCAGTGCTGATTCTTTTGGGGGGTCATGGTGGGACCTACCTGGCAGGAGCTGCTCGACAGGTTCGGCTTCAACATCGTTGGGCGCCCGGATGTATCTGGGGAATAGGTTGGCCACTTGGCTGCAAGAAAGTGGGGTGAGGAGGGGGGTTACACCATCCTGCCAAGCATGGGGGTCTGGTTCCCCCCTCCCCAGGGGACACTCACACGGGGGCATCCCGGGTGCCCTCCAGCAGCTGGGCCAGCTGCAGGCGCTCGGGTGCACCGGGCACCAGGTCGGTGCTGTGCTTGTCAAAGGCGGTCTCCACCGTGCCCCCCTTGCCCAGATCCCTGTGGATAGTAGAGACTGAGTGTGTGTAGGGGGGATGCAGGCAGGGCTGGACCCCCCCTTGCCGTGCCAGCAGTACCTCTGGAAGGACCAGGAGAAGCGGACGGTGATGTCAGAGGAGCTATTCAGCAACTCCTGCCGCATCTGCTCGCGGCTGGGGGGGCTGACGCTCCAGAGTGAGCCTGAGCTGCCCTCGATGCGGACGGTCACGATGTCCTCGTAGCCGTAGAGGGTGATGAACTGCATAGCCACCTGCCATGGGGGGGACACAGCTCAGCCCCACCATGGCATCTGCCAGCCCTCCAGGCAGGTTTTGGGATGGGGGGAGGATTTACCGGGTCATGGTCGAAATGCCGGGTGAGGTCTTCGTAGTCATCGGGGGTGAAGGGCTTAATGGATTGCTGCTGGGCACTCATGGTGAACAGTGGCTAGGGGGGACAGGGGGCCATGAGCAGGGCAGGGGACCCCAGTGTCTCATCAGGGGACCCCCAGCACACCCCCTATGCATCCTCACCTCATACCCCCCCAGCTGGAGGGTGACAGTGACGTCAATGGGGTGGTTGACGATGCCCACCACGGAGCGCACCAGCGACATGAAGAGCAGGGGGAACCAGATGATGCACACGAGGAAGAGGATGATGAGGCCCCCCATGCCATACTTCACAACCTTCTTCTTCTTCTGCCCCTTGGGCTGGGGGTATTTCTGGGATGGGAAGGAGACAGCACACAGTGTTGAGAAGGCACAGGGGGACCCCAAACAACAAGAGGCTTAGCGGGAGGCCCTTCCTGGCATAGGGGAAACTGTACCTTCTCAGTCTCACGGCTGCACTTGATGATGAAGATGTTGGCATAGATGTCCTCCACACACATCCAGTTGGAAAGAGACAGCGTGGTGTCCGTCCAGACCCAGTCCATCACAGCGCGCAGCTCCACCAGGAAGGGCACGAGGCGAAATCTGGGGGGGACACAGGGAGGGGAGGTAGTATGGCACCCTTGGGGTGCCTGGAGGTCCACGCAGCCCTGTGCCGTACCCCTGGAAGAGGAAGAGGTTGAGGTAGTTGTATTTCTTGGTAAGGAAGTTGCCCAGGATGCGGGTGGGGTAACCACAGCGGATCTGGTAGGCCGACAGCGCAAAGTAGATGCACTTCACGAAGTACCATAGCTGGGCCACCATGTTGAGGTTGAACAACCTGCAGGAGGGACATGTCACCCCTCAGCCACCTGTCCGGCCAGCCTGAGCCACCATGTGGGCTCGGGGACACAAAGGTGCCACCCAAGGACTACACTGTGCAGGGCACCCTTAGGGGATTCTCAGTACCTTTCAGTGACCGCTGGCACGATAAAGAACATCCAGACGTGGATGCCAAAGACCAGGACGACCTGGAATATGAGCTTGCCCAGCACAGTTTTGCGGAGGTAGAGCGCGCGGTCGATGATCATGGTGGTGAACTGGAAGAGCAGCATGACCAGGAAAGCCTGCGGCACTTGGTTTTCTGACAGCGAGGAGGTGATGTCGGTGGCCGCCGTGTGTTTCTGAGATGCAGGAGAGGTCAGTATATGGTCAGGCCTCACCCTGCAGTGGGGGCTTGCCAGTCAGTGCCCTGTGGGACCCCTTGCTCACCCCGAAGGCCCAGAAGCCAAAGACGATGATGATGAAGTCGACCACGTCGACCAGGAACATGAAGGCGTAGACATCGGTGGCCGCGCGGTTCTCGGTGTGCAGAATGTCCTTGAAGAATTTGCGCACCGGCTGGTACATGCTCTGTGCTCTGCAGGGGACAGGGGACACAGGGGACGCAGGGAATGGTTGACAGGGGCTGCACCCCACATCCCCCACCCTAACCAGCACCACTGGCACTCACGTGGTGAGGAAGAAGCACTTGACCCACAATCCAAATGCGTTCAGCTTCCTCTGAGCATGGGTCTCTTCTGCCTCTCCCGTCTTCTCCCCAACCCCTGGAAGTGAGGCTAAGCACACAGAACAGTTAGGGTCCAGCAGGGCCATACTGTGGCGGTGCCAGCCTTGCCACCCTTGTGAGAGCAGGGAACTGGTGCTCCCTTCCTCTGGTGTCTTCCTTCCCTGAGTCGTCTTCTTCCTGCAGCGGAGCTCCATGGCCTCACTCCCCTCTTCCTGCTCCATGGCATCACCCTCCGACTCGGATCTCATGTTTGAGTCTGGTGCTCCTGGCTCTTCTGGAGCCTCCATCCCTTCCTCAGACACCATCAGCGATGGGGGCGCTGCTTCTTCCCACTTCTCCTCTTCCTCTGCCCACTTCGCCTCCATCTTCATCTTGGATAAGGCATCCTCATCATAGTCCCACAACCCATAGCCCTGTGGAAGGACATGGTCAGGGGGATGGGGGTCCTGATGTCCCCCAGCCCCACGCACCTCATCCCCCACCCACAGCATCAATTCCCAAAAAGCAATGGTGGGAAACCACAGCAGAGACACCAAGCACCCACTGGTTCTCTTCAGAGCTCCCAGGACCACCTCCAGCTCCCACAAAATGCCCACCCACATGTTGCCCATCCCTCAGAGCTCACCTGCAGCAGGGAGCGATGGAAAAAGAGGGCCAGGAGCTGGAAGAGGTCATACTTGAGGTAGCGGGTGCTCTTCTCCAAGCCCAGGATGCGTGGTGGGAAGAAGGGCTTGCCCTCATTGCGCAGCAGTGTGGTGTAGCTGTTCCAGGGGAAGAACCCGAACTGGAAGAGGTATTTCACCAGCAGCATCACCTATGGGGATACTGGGGTCAGTGGGTGGCAGTGGGGGGCCGGGTGGAATCATCCTCTCACCGGTCACCCCCTGCCCACCTCAGTGAAGATGATGGCAGTCATCCAGAAGCGCTTGGTGGGCCGGGGGATGGAGAGCATGGCCCAGAGGAAGATGAGGATGGGCAGAAAGAGGGAGATGATGGAGGCGGACACTATGTTGTTGAGGATGATGATGAAGTAGCAGACCAGCTCAGAGTGGGCGGTCACACAGTGGTACCCAGCCAGGAGCAGCTTCAGGAACCGGTTGTGGGACTGATAGAAAAGCTCTGCCTCGTTCAGCGGTGGAGTGACTGGCTTCCTGCAGAGTGCAGCAAACAGGCTGAGCCATCCCTGCCGCCCGCCAGCCCCGTCCCCACTGTCCCCACATCCCCCGTACCTGATCAGGAGGAGCTCACCGGCCGTCCTCCTGCGGTT